GCAAACTACTGTTTAAAGTGGCTTCGCTTGCCTTTAGTTAATGTTAAAGACCGAGTTTTACAGATAAGTTGGCATACTTTTTGAGATAGTCTCTCATTTCGAACGTGTCTAGGCCTAACTACAAGATCAATGTAAACAAATCCACAACATAATTTTTTTCGCGTTTGGTGCATGGTTCATATTTATTTACTTTTGTTATTACTAAAATAAAATTTTATCAAAGTGTCGCATGATGACACACGCAGACATTCTCATTTTCTTTTCCTTTTATTTGTTCTTACTCTCAACCCTCTGATAGGTGGCGCCACCATCCCAGATGGGACATGTAAACCATGTAAACGTTATCCCTCTGCACTGTAAGACGCTGTCCGCAGTGAACATTTGCTGCACGGTAATGCCATTCCCTTAACCTCTGCTATCAGCTAACGGTAAACTATAACTGTCTATTGCATGGCAATGCTTTTTCCGAAGGTACACCAGCACCACCGTTGTGCTTTCCGCTGCATAGGGTTCCTATTGGCTGCGACAAAGCGGCGAGCTTCAGCAAGGAGCAAAAAAGATAGTTCACTTAAGCGATGCAGTTCCCCTGCTTTCACCATCTGAAAATCCCGTTTTCCCACTTCGCGCCACCTAAAACTTTACACAAATGAAAGCCAATTATCAAGTTTTCTGTGAGGTCTGGCTTCACTGCAATGTGGCCTCTGCTGCTGATGAACAGTCTTTAGGCTGCTCATACATGGGAGAATTCACACATTCGTTGGCTTTACTAAAATTTGAGGCAAACATGCAAAGTGCATACTTTTGCACCCTTGACATTATGCGTGGAAGATTTCATGTTTGCAACCAGTTCAGTCCCTGTGACCCCATTGGTGTCATTGCTTCAAGCAAGTGCAGTTAATTTCAAAGCAAATGTTTTTCACCTTTCACTTATTTCTCGCATGAAAGACTTTTACACCAGCACAGATGGACGGCACTCCATGTCAGGTAGTTCTGATGCACAACGGGTTTGAAAGTGGCGTGTCCCAAAAACATCAATTTTTTTGTCCTTATCCATATATTTTCATGTAGTTTATATTTACTCAGTATCTATAACAGCTCTGCTAAATGGTCTCCAGTGATGTTGTAAACAGAATCTTTGTTCTATATTGCAATCAACAGCTATATAAAATATGTCAGTTTTAACAAAATGTTATGGGTAAAAATAATTGAATATCGGAATCTGACCTTTCTTGTTTTTCTAAAATAATTTTCATCTGCTGTACACCGGAGATGAAAATAAAACAGTTAAAATTAATTGACCTGGAATTACTTGGGTCGGAAAAGGTTAACAAGACTGCAATTTAGGCGGAAATGTTTAGGCCCGTGTGCTCAGATTTGGGTGCACGTTAAAGAACCCCAGGTGGTCGAAATTTCCGGAGTCCTCCACTATGGCGTCGCTCATCATATGGTGGTTTTGGGACGTTAAGCCCCACATATCAATCAATCAAGACTTTGCAATTTTGTGTAATTTGACTATCTCAAGTTATAATGGCACATATATATATATATATAAGAAGTGGTATACAGTCAACGTCTGGTTTCTCGGATGCCCGTACCCGTAATTCTGAAATTACAGACATGCCTGATTTCCTGGACTCATCTGTAGCACCATCAAGTTTCCCATTGAGTCAATGTATTGAAATGTTCTAAGTTCCGGTTGTTTCTAGCTTTCACCGTCTGATTGCCCCGCCGCGGTGGTCTAGTGGCTAAGGTACTCGGCTGCTGACCCGCAGGTCGCGGGATCGAATTCCGGCTGCGACGGCTACATTTCTGATGGAGGCGGAAATGTTGTAGGCCCGTGTGCTCAGATTTGGGTGCAGGTTAAAGAATCCCAGGTGATATAAATTTCTGGAACCCTCCACTACGGCATCTCTCATAATCATTAGGTGGTTTTTAATGTTAAACCCTACAAATCAATCATTTCACTGTCTGATTTTCCAGACTTTTTACTGCTTACCACAGACTTGGAAGTCACTAAGGACGCCGTCATATTAGTTTTCGTACCCTGAAACTCATCGCGCCGCCATTTTTCGAACAACGCCTCGAGCGTACCCTCGAAACCACAAATGCCGCAATCCAGCGCACGCCAATCCGTTGCCAGTCATAGCTTAGTGAAACCTGTGGCCACAGCCGCATGGTGCTGTGTGCAGCCTGTGCTCCGGCGGTGTGAAAAAGTGCATTGTTAACCTATAGTCTGCCGTCAGCATGCTTGCAGACTCTTAGAAGGTGGTTACGCAACAGACCCTCTAGAAAGCCGAGACGGCTGTCTTGCTCAGAGTGGACAGCATGTGCAATGAACTTCCACCCACGGACTATCTGCACGCTGCCGGTGTTTTGATTCCAGTTGGGATAACCTTTTAGGGCTTTGCTGATGCTGACGAAGACCTTGGCTGTGTGCAGAATTGACCGATGACATAATAATTTGTGAAGTTATGGAAAATTCCGATGACACCGAGATCGAAGAGGCAGCTCCTACACAGTCAACAAGCTTGGGAGTTGACGCGAGCACTGACGCATTCATTGGTGTACAGCGACAGCATGGCGCTAGTTGAAATTAAGGCAGACATCATCGCAGTCAAGAACGCCATGCAAATGAAAATAAGGAACTTTTTTTCGCCTAAGTGTTCACAAATGAAGTTGCACTGGGCACATCTGTGTCTCTCTCATATATATATATATATATATATATACACACACACACAACACAGTGGACTCCCATTAAATGAAACTATCTAGGCACATTTGGTTGGTCTCCTACATATTTAATGATAAAAGTTTGAGGTAGTCTGGACATTTTTTTTTTGTTTTGATTTTTCAAATTACATTGGTTAAATAAAACTAAAACGAGCAAAAATTCATGAACGGCAGAAGTGGCCACGACAGTCTTGCAACCATGAAACGTATACCGAAGCTAGCCTAGCCAAGCCAATCCAGCAATCGCACATGTCCGCGGCGACTCCGCGCACGCCAAGCAGCGATCGACGTTTTGTCATGAACTTAAGGTGCAACCAAAAAAACGGCAGCACAGTGCACTTTCACTCGCAACGAAAGTAAAAATGGCTCAATAACTTGACCGCAATAACCTTTCAAAGACGGATATTGCGAAAACGTTCAATATTCCCCAGTCCACGCTGTCAAGGATACTCAAGAACAAAGGGAAGATTGAAGAAACTATAAAGCTTGGGAACTTCGCTATGGAGAGAATGCGGATGAAAATGTCGTACAAAGAAATTGTTCTTTTCCTCTGGTTCAAGCGAGCGCGAGATGCAAAATTCCTGATCAGCGGCACCATTTTGGAAGAGAAGACCAAAAAGATTGCTACTGGGATTGGGATCTAGGACTTACGGGTTAACGATGGCTGGCTGAGCTGTTTTAAGAAGCGGCATGGTCTTGTCTTTAGGACAGTTTCGGGAGGAAGTGCGGCTGTAAATCGATATATTTGTAATCACTAGCAACAGGGGAGGTTGCAAGAAATTTTGGTAGCCTGCGATCAACGGGACGTGTTTAGTGCTGAAATGGCCTCGTTTTACAAAGCACTCCTTACTAAGACACTTGCTTGCAAGGGAGCAACCTGTGCGGAAGGAAAGCGAAGCAAAGATCGTATTACGGTGCTAGTAGGGGCCAACATGGACGGTAGCGAAAAGTCGAAGATGTTAGTCGCTGGGAAAACCAAGCACCCACGCTGCTTCAAAGGTGTGCGAAGACTGCTTGTCACGTACCACGCGAACGGGAAAGCTTAAGTGACTCAAGCAATCTTCAAGACATGGTTGCGTGAAGAGAATAGAAGATTTATCCAGCAGAACAGGAAGGTTATTTTTACTGTTGATCAATGCCCTGCTCACGATCAAGTCGATAGACTCAAATCGATCAGCCTAGAGTTCCTGCCCCCAAATGTGTCTGCTATCGTTCGATTGATGGACCAGGGTAATATTCAGAACTTAAGGTTCTCTACCGCAGCCAAGTCCTCAAGCGAATGCTTCTTTGTGCGGACAAAAAAAAAGATTACTATGTCGACTTGCTCTCAGCTCTTCACATTCTAACCTATGCCTGGGAATGCGTGAAAGTGTCAGCTGTGCAGAGGTGCTTACACCATGCAGGATTTTCAAGACAAGTCCTTCCAGGTGATGAAGACAACATTGCCGAGGCTGAGGAGGCTGATATTCTCTCTTCAGCCAGGTGGCATAGTCTACTTCTTTCACGCGAGTGGACTATGAAACGCTTGATGAAAACGTCGCCACATGCCGCGAGGATGGTCTTGAGGAACTTATTGCTGAAGTTCAAGATGAGGACCCGTGCTCAAGTGTTGATGAGATGGTGTGTGATCTTGAGCCCATTGCAGTGGCGGACAGTGCGGCTAGAGATGCTGGCATCTTGCTGCAGCGCTAGGTTGAATACGATGGTGGCACAGATTTTCTGCCCAGCCTTTCGGCCATGCACTCTTACTTTGTGAAAAAAATGCTTGAACAAAGCCAAGCAAACTGTTATCACCTCCTTTTTTCGGGTCAGTAATATTAGCAGGTTTTTTTTTTTTTTTGGTCAGCCACAGTAGGTGCTTTTGAAAGAAAGTCATATTTCATTCATTTTGTGGCCTTTGCTTGAATGAAACTTCTCATAAATGGAACAAGTTTTCTTGGCCATTCGAGTTCCATTTAAGAGGAGTCCACTGTGTATATATATATACACACACACGGCACTTTTCAGAGCCCCTAAACGATGCATTTCCTGAATTGCAATGGGAACCCTATACTCCGGTCGTGACCATCTCTGTCAACAAAATTACCTATTAAAGTGTGTTTTCGCTTGCATTCGTTTTTCCTGACATTTTTGCGGCCCCTTGAGGGTCTGGGATATTGGACATCGACTGTACACATGACTGTGTGCATTCATTTCCTTCTCCGAAGTGGTTATTTTTATGGTTTGTTCCTCGATATGCTGTTTGACCTACTGAAACTGTGCTGCAGGTCTTGGTGGGAGCACAGAGTCCCCTCGGCGAGACTCGCTGGAACGACGCGACGGCACGGCAGCCATGTTGGGTGGCAGTCGGGGCCCCTTTGCTGCAACTCTCGAGTCGGCCTATTCGGCAGCAGGAGGGCCCCTGGGTGCAAAGGGAAGCCAGTTCTATGGGGCGCTCGGCACAGTGGCGGCCTCTCCAGGCCCAGTGGGCATGCTGCCCCAGAGCTTGACACCTCCTCCACCCTCCCTCAATGGGTCCTCGTCCAACCTCAGCTTAGGTGAGCACACCCGCATACTTTCCCGCAGTACAGTTGTGCTATGCTGTATAACAGAGTAATGATGCCTGTTGCAGTGTATAATTCTCAATCCATTACATGTGTTATGATGCAAAAGGAACTGGTTTGCAGTAATGTATTTGCTAAACTTAGGGGCAGGTGCATGTAGTACATGTTGCAGTAGAAACACCTAATTCGTTACTGTTGCACATTATAATTGCAGTTAGTTAGAGGAAGGGAAAGTTCATTTTATTTCATTGCCATTCTGATTGCTCAACCACATTTATGATGCTTAGATTGTGTTTTATTTTGTCAATTAAGCGCATATCAAATTCAGAGTTCGACCTATATCCTTTGTGTTTGCAATATTATAATAGATGAGCCATTGACTTAATATTGCAGCTATGGTTGCAAAAGCGATGTATTGCCATTGCAAGGTTACTAATTCGTGGTGCTGTGCTTATTGGCAATGCAGGAACATTTGGGAGCCGGATGATGTCGGCTGCACCTGGGGCTGAGGCCAAGTACTTGGTGCGAAATGGACCCCTCAGCAGTGTTCTGGGTTCTTCCAATGCACTGGTGCCCGGCCGCACGCTCCAGAGGAAGTGAGTGCCCTTTTTCCTTGCTTGTTATCACTAAAGTTGTCGACGGCTTTTTCAGACTCCGAAAATTCGAACTTGTTGGATATTTCGCACTTCATAAATGCACTATGAAGGTTCCCGCAACACTACTTCAATTTTGCAACCAATTTTCAGGTGGATTTAAGGCCTCAAAGTTTGATTTTCCGGACTTCTAAATCATTCATTTTAGCCATGCCACTCAATATTAAAAGCTGGCATGCTGGATTATACGCGGGTGGGCTTTTTTGGGCGTTTGATTTTTCAGGTGTTATTGTGCACCTGGTCGTGTCGATGGTGTGTCATGTTTTTGAGCCATCGTGCATGTCACGTTCTCTGCTGTTGTGGTTGCTCAATAGCGCTCAAGTGGTTATCGATTAAAGCACTCGTCTATTTATCCGAAACACGTGGGTTTGATCGCTGCCGCGATGGGTAGCATTTTGAGGGGGGGGGGGGGGCAAGAGCACGTTTAATTCAAAAAATTTACTGTCAGACCCCTTTCAATAGGTACTAATATAAAAAACAAACTCGTTAAGAGAGACCAGTGTGCCTATTGTAAAATACGGGTTGATAAGGAAATGCGTACGAGGCGCCCTGTGGGATGTGATGTGCGCATGAAAGGTCTGTTGGGCTGGTGCAAAACAGCACGAATGCGGCGAGTGGCGAAAAGGGAGGAAAAAGACGAGCAGTGTACGTGCTAAGAGAAGAAGCCCAGTGAAGATAACGATGAAGAGAGGCACGAGGGCGCTACGTCAACAGCAGAGCAAAGTGGCCCAATCAGCAGTTGCCACGAAGGTATGAGGAGCCAATCACTTGTTGACATGGCAACACAGAGAACTCCAATGGGAAGCCGACGAGTCAACCCGAGAAGGGCCATGGCAGTCGGCAAAGGGCGCTTGGTCAGTTAGAGCATAAGCAGGGTGGAGGCAGCTCGCCAGCATCACGGTCAGATTTGCCCTGATTGTCTGGCAGAGGCCAAGAGTCGGAGCGGGTTGCTTCGCTTGACCTCAAGCTTCGACGGTCTTTGGAGCCAGCGGGAGAATACCGCAGCCACCAGGTCATGGTTGTGGTTTGCCCAAAGTGCTTGGCTGTGGCCCCTAGTCCGTGCGTTCGAGAAGACTGCCCAACTTCGTCAGCCCGGTCTTTGACACCTACCCACTCCGTCGGTGCCTACATCTGAGCGTCGTTTTGCTTTTCGACTGGTTCCTCCCACGACTGCATTGCCGTACACTTACCTGCTCGACGTAGACGTCCCTGACCCCATAATACTGATGCTCACCGGTGAGACTGTTCCGGTTGCGGTTGAACTAGACTGGTTGACGTGTCTGCTCAGAGCGTTGTATATAGGTTGTCAACTGTTTTGTTACCTTTAGTGCGTATTTTGTGTCCTATGTTCGTGTGTTTTGACAAAGCAAAGGAAACAGAAAACAGCCTCGCCTTTTTTTATTGAGAGTGTTCCTGTCCACGGCGCAATGTTTACTTATTCCAAAGAACACCATCACACCTTGCTGATCAGAGACATCCCACATAAAAGACAATAATTACTGCCTGGAGCATATAACGGGGTTTGACTGTATTTACGATGTCTCCAAAGACGATGAGGTGGTGTTCAAAGACCACAAAAATAGCTTCGCGGCAGTGCTTGAAAGCTATGCAGGAAAGATAGTTTTGCAGGGATCATTTTCAGAAATATTTTACAATCGAAAGTAATTTTTGGTTCCAGGTCAACTCCCCCAACTTCAGATTTCTAAGACGAAATGGGCCGTTTTACACTCGTGATAGAGTAGTTTTGTTTGCTTTATGCTATGGATCCACCACGCCTCGATTCTTGGATACCTGAGACTGCATTATGAAGGCCGTTTCGGTTGTTGTGCAGATATTTGTGACTTCAGCCGTCGTCTACGCTGTAGCCAGAAATGAAATTTTCTGAAATTTTACTTTGTGTAATAGGCGCACCCCTAACTTTGGATCGGATTTTCTGAAAGAAGAAAAGTGCGCCAATTATGCGAATAAATAGGGTACTCAGCTCTCTTGTACCCTGCGTGACATTTCTGTCAAGATAAGGCAGAGCTTATTTTCCTGGATCTTGTAGGTGTCATTTCAACTACAGTCGAATCTCATTAATTCGAACACACTTAATTCGAATTTCTGGTTAATTCGAACTCACGATGAGGTCGCGTCAAAGCTATAAGTATTTCAATTGGGGAAAACGCCCAGTAATTTGAACGCCCAAGCACCTGCGACAGTTAATTCGAACATACCGCACTCAGCACCCCGCCCAATCTTGCGGTGGCACCTCCGACACCTCAACGCTGCGCGCGAAGGAAAGAAAAGGCTGCGATGAACTGTTTGCTCTCTCTCTCTCAAATGCTGATTTGCGACGCGCCTGTGCCACGCTTCTCCCTTTTCCGCCCCTGCCACGTAAAAACTCTTCTTCCAATGCCACACGCAAAGAGAGAGAGAGAGAAAAAAGTTGAAAAATTGTTGCAGAGTGTGGCTCTCTTTCATGGGCCGGTGCCACACTTCCCGCTTTCCCGTCCCTGCCATGTAACCCTTCTCCTTTCAACGACGCGCGCGAAGAGAGCAAAAAAACTGCTGTAGAATGTCGGTTCATCTCAAATGCAGACCTGCTTCTCTCCGCGTGGAGACGCTCCTCCTTTCTTGTCACATGCTGGCCATGCTGCGGCTTTGGCGCAGAGGGTAGTAGCGGAGATGCAGTCCTTCGTTGTCGCCTTTAGAGAGTGTCGGCGCTGGACATTGCCGCGCACAACTTCTCTTGCCAGGAGAATGCTGAAGCCGAAGTAGACATGCTTTGCCAGCTGCGTGCGAAATTGATTGACTCGCTGCATTGCAAACGTGTGCAGATGCGCATAAATGTAAGTCTTCTGAAACTTCCCCCTCGTGTGTTAGCTCAATGCACATGCGCCACTGCATGGGGAGCCCTCCATTTACTTAGCTTTCATTAATTCGAACTTCTTTCAATTCGAACAGATTTTCGGGCCCCTTCGAGTTCGAATGATTGAGATTCGACTGTACCATATTCAAGCGAGCTCCCACCTGTTACACTCCTGGGTGCTACCTTTTGCCATATGCCGTATACAGTTAAACCCCTTTATAATAGGCATGCTTTGGGGGGAAATTCTTGTCTTTTATGTGAAGTGTCTCTTAAATAGTAGGATACCTTGTAAGTTCTTTCTTATCAACCCGTATTTTACTGTTGGCACACTGGTGTCTCTTATACCCATTTGTCTCTTATAAAGGGGTTCGACTGTATAGCATGTTAAAAACCTAAAAGGGCCCCTAAACCACCCCACAGTCGAAGTTTAGTTGAGGTGAGGTAGTTGTGCTCAAGTTTACAATGAACATGTAGCTGTGAGAATTCTTGAAACGGTGCTGCATTAGTGGAGTTACACGCGTTAAATGATCGAAATGCGACGATCGCTTATTTTCCTTTTTCCTATGCTAACCTCTTCCAAAACCGCTTGGCCCCTCCTCGCTAAGTCAGCTGAGTGTCTCTCCTCATCTTGCGTGGCATGCGTCAACGCTGACGCGCTGTTCGAGACAGCATCTACTTACGGTTGCCGCGATCCACCACTCCGATGCCCCAGCTCGCTGACAACTGTGTTGTGTGTGTCATCTTGGTGCACTGATCGTTGACTAACCACTGTTGCTGTCGGGCCGTTACGGGCCGCAGATGTCGATTCGCAAGCGGTAACACGACCAAGAACAGCAAGGTGCGCGCGAACAGCTGTTTGCAGAGTGACCGGAGGTTGTCGGTTGTCGTTTGGCCACTCGCAAGCATCGAAAGTGGTGACGTCATCAAGTTTCACTGGTGGTGTCACATATGTCAGTGGCGGGAGTGGCGGGAACCGGAAAGGAGAAGCTATTGTTTATTTTAAATTGTGGCGCGTCCGCTACCTGTAGCGCTGCGGCGTGTAACATCGTTGATTGCAACGGCACTCTGCACGCGATGCGCTTGTTTACTTGAAATGTTTGGGGAAATATCGGAGGGGGTTTAGGGGCCCTTTATGGGGGGTGTGGCCACAATTCTCACACAGGCACACACGCACACACACAGGCACGCAGGTTTTATTTAGGGACAGGCACCAAGAAAATCTGTGATCTTCACTTGTTGCCGTGGTGGCCTTGCCGTGACGACAGCATCTTCAAAGTTGGCGAGGCCGCGAGCCAGCCGGTCCAATAGGCTATGCTTCTCGGGGAAGGCTCGCATCACAGTTACAGCACGCACAGCTTCGAATAACGAGGGGCCGTTGTCCACTTCGACATCGCTCTCCTCCTCACTTCCGCTTGAATCGGGACGAGGTGCGACGGCGGCAACATTGTCGACGGTCGGAAAAGTCTGGAGAAGTAACGTCTCTGTCCACATCTCGGAAAGTGCCAAAGTTCAACTTCTCTACTCCTTCTCCTTGCCGCTCGAGCACCTCAACAAGGAGGCTCTCGCAGTCTTCGGTGTCCTCACCATCCTCGATGTCGTCGTTGCCTTCGTCTGGCGTCTTGAATTGTGCTCGCGCGAAACAGTTCCATATCGTTGCAGGCTGTACCATATCGTTGCAGGCTGTACCTACATCCATGAGTGTGCAAGCAAGTGTATAGCACCCAGAAGGTCTATCGTGTACGTTTTGTCACTCTCCATGACGAGCAACATCCTTCGCAACAGATTTTTGCGGTAAATCTGCTTGACACAGCTTATGATGCCCTGATCGAGGGGCTGGGCGAGCGCTGTCCTGTTGGGCAGCAACAACAACAGCTTAATAGCCGACAGGTTACCCACATCGACATGCGCCGACGCATTGTCGAGTACAGTGATTATGCTCCTTTTCTTTGCAGCAAAACGGCGATCCAGCTGGCGCCCGTACTCTTCGAACAGCTGGGCTGTCATCCAGGCTTTTTTATTGTGCTTGTAAACAACGCCAGATGGCAGCCGAGCGCCTTTGAAGCACCACGGGTTTGCATATTTGCCAATGACC